AAGTTATACAAAGTCTATCCCATATGTCCTTTCCACTCTTGCAACCAGAAACCCGCATGTAGTCTTCTGATTTTAAAACATAAAAGAAACTATTCAAGCATTTGGCATTTAATTGTGCTAATTCACGTTTTTCTATTGTCCAGTCCACAAAAGCTATTTCAATCCTAATTCCGTCAACTAGTCTAGTTGGTTTTGTATACCCTTCCTGAACTAAGATCCGCATACGATGATCAAGTGACTGTAAAAATATAAACATGCATGTTTTCCAAAAATCAAAAAGTATATTGTCAAACAATGGAGGTCTAGTTATAGAGTAACCCTCATGTGTATTTTGATTTCCATATGTAGCCATCTACGTTAATCAAAAAGTTGTCTAAACTTATGATTTTGAAACTAAGCTCTGATACCACTTGTTGAAACTTGTTCAATATGAATTAGGTTGTTAAACCTAAGCTTATGTCCCAGCGGCTAACAAAGAGGGGGGCGAATTGGTAATTAAAATTTAATTCCTCTTTTAAAATTTAAAACCGAGAAAAAAAACTTTAATGAATTTTATAGAAAACGTTTTTAAACCATAATTTTGAAACAGTAAAACACAAAAATAAAAAGCAGTGAAAAAATAAAAGACGGGATTTATAGTGGTTCGGTCAAACCTGACCTACATCCACTCCCCGGAGGCACCCTCCGAGTATTGCACTATTACCACTAGTGACTCTCCTTTTGCACCCACAGCAAGGCGGAAAAGCCTTTACAAAACTCTCTTCCACCACTACCCGGTGCGGCAGAGAATCGTCATCCTTTTACACTCTTCCTAGTGTTAGCAGAGAGCCGTTCATCCTTTCACACTCTCCCGGTGTAGGCAAAGAACCTTCGTCCTTTTACACTCTCCTAGTGTGGGCAGAGAACCCTTCGTCTTTTCACACTCTCCTAGTGTGGGCAAAGAACCCTTCATCCTTTCACACTCCTAGTGTGGGCAGAGAACCCTTCGTCCTTTCATACTCTCTTAGTGTGGGTAGAGAACCCTTCGGCTGTTCACACTCTCCAAGTGTCGGCAGAGAACCGGATCTCCTTGACAGATCTTCTTCACAATAAATCTAGAATGAAGAGAGAAAAGAGTGAAGTAAACACAAATCAAAAGTAAATATTCTTACCTTTGAACACCAAGTGAAACCTTCACGCCCCAGTAGTAAGAATCCTCCTTCGAACACTTTCTCATACTCTCTCCTTGACTCTTCTTTCAATAGGCATGAAGATCAGTAGGCAAAAAGATTAAGTGACAGTCTAAATTGAACTATTTATATAAAAGAAAAGAAAAACCGTCCAAAAACTGCAAATTTTCAAGTCAACACGAAGTTGATCGTCCCGTACGATCGTGGATCGTCCTGGACGATTTTACTTAAATGTGTGGAAATGAACCAAATGTATATTGGAACGAACTGAAATCGTACCCGAGCATCGTCCCGTACGAACTAGGTTTGTCTGGTACTAACAGTTATACCATAGGTCGGTTCCCAAAAACTACAGGACGTTGCCAAAATTTGAAGAGTCGGTTCACTTCGTCCTGGGACGAATATAAGTTCGTCCGGACGAAATTTTTACAGAGAACATTTCGTCCTGGGACGAATTTGCGTTCGTCTGGACAAAAATTTTTCAGAGTACATTTCATCCTGGGACGAATTTGAGTTCGTCTGGACGAAAATTTTCCAGAGAACATTTCGTCTTGGCACAAATATGAATTTCGTCTGAATGAAAATTTTTCAGAGAACATTTCATCCTGGGACGATTAAACATACGTCCTGGACAATCAGGACTTAGAAAAATTTTCTTCAACTCTGGTTTGTTCCATTGCTCTTTAGAGGAGATAACTGACTTGATCGTCCCGTACGAATTATGTTCGTCCCGTACGATCAGTATAAATTTTTAAAGATCTCCTTAAGTGTGTGTGTTTATTCACTCAATTACAATCACTCCCTCTCAAACTTAATTCAAAGAAAAGTACAAGCTTCAATTCACAAAATCTCTCATGCTAAATTTAATTTGAAGTCTTCAGTAGTGTGGAGTTTGATTTTCCTGAAATGTTAGTTCACACAAGAGCAAAAACAAATCTTCCAAAAAGTGTTAGGAAATATCAATACATAAAACAATAATATTTGGAATCATCAAAACTATATAAGTTGCAAGAATGTAAAACATGCAAATAGCAACTCTCTTAACATCCTTTTTCTCCAATGTGTCCAATTAAAAGTCAAACTCTTCTTTAAATCTAATAGAGAAAGATCATTTCTAATATTTTCTAACCAAGTCTTTTCAGGTCTGCCTATACCTTGCTTAACATAAATAAAATCTAATACCTCTTCTTTCCTAATCGGGTCATCGGAAGGCTGCCGTTTTATGTGATCAAACCATCTAAGGCGACTCTCTCTAATCTTATCTTTTACTGGAGCTACTCCAACCTTTTCATGTATATGCTCATTCCGTATCCTATCTCTGAGGGTAAAGCCGCTCATCTGCCTGAGCATCCTCATCTCTGCCACACTTAACTTAGTATTATACTTCTCTTTTAATGGCCAACATTCGGCACTATAAAGCATTGCAGGCCTCACCACCATCTTATAGAATTTTCCCTTAACTTTGAGGGGTACTTTGTTATCACACAACAATCCCAATGCATTCCTCCACTTCAACCATCCAATTTGAATTCTACTGATAATATCCCCATCTATTTCACCATCACTCTGAACAATAGATCCTAGATATCTAAAACGTGTACTCTTATTATGACTTTATCGCCCAAAGTCACAATCCCCTCACTAGGTCTATTACTACTAAAATTACACTCCATATATTCCTTTTTAGATCTACTCAAGCGAAACCTTTAGCTCTAAAGTTTACCTCCATAATTCAAGTTTACCTTCAACTCCCTCTCTAGTCTTATCAACAAGAAAAATATCATCAGCAAAAAACATACACTAAGGTACATCATCTTGCAAATGTCTAGTGAGAACATCCATGCCTAAAGCAAAAATATATGGGCTTAAGGCTGATCCTTGATATAACCCAATCAAAATAGGAAAATACTTGGTCAAACCACCTTGTGTTTGAACACAAGTAATAGCTCCTACATACATATCTTTAATGATTTGCATATAAGCATTATTAACTCCTTTTCAAGAACGCTCCATAACACTTCTCTTGGAACTTTAACAAATGTTTTTTCTAAATCAATAAATATCATATGTATATCATCTTTATTTTCTCTATATGTTTCCATCAAACCTCTTAATCAATGTATGGCTTCCATAGTTGACTTACCCGGCATGAATCCAATTTGATTTTGAGAAACATTAGTATCATGCTGCAACCTATGCTCCATAACTCGCTCCCATAGTTTTAAAGTATGACACATTAACTTAATTCCTCTATAATTCACACAATCTTGTGTATCACATTTATTCTTAAAAATAGGAATTAACACACTCATTCTCCACTCATCTAACATCTTTTTAGTCTTTAAAACAGTATTAAAAAGTTTAGTAAGCCAAGAAATTCCTTCATCTCCTAAGCATTTCCACACCTCTATTGGAATATCATCAGGTCCAACAGCTTTTCCACACTTCATTTTCTTTAAAGCCTCTTTAACTCCGGTTTTAATAATATGCCGATAAAAACAGAAATTTTTATTTTCATTTAGGATGATAAGATCACTACAGTCAATCGTATTTTCACATTCTTCATTAAAAAGTTTAGCAAAATATCTCATCCACCTTTGTTGAATATCATTTTCTAAAAAAAGTATTTTTTGATCTTCATCCTTAATACACTTCACTTGAACTAAATCCTTACTATTATCTCTTTGTTTTGCTAACTTATACATATATCTATCTTCCTCCTTAGTATCTAATCTATTATATAAATCACTAAAAACTAAAGTATTTGCATCGCATATTACTTTCTTAGATTCCTTACGTGGCTCTTTATATCTTTCTTAATTATCAAAGTTTTTATAATTAAACTAATTTTTATAATAAATATTCTTATTTTTAATCTTATCTTGTACAATTAGATTTCACCACAAACTATTTTTACTATTAGGAGATTTTTCCTTTGAAACTCCAAGCACATCTTTTGCAATATTCTTAATATCACTAGCAACTTTTTCCCACATAGCATTAGCATCCTCATGCACAGACAAAATCTTAAGATCTAAAATATTACTCTAAAAAATATTTTTGTTAATATTCTTTAAATGCCCCCTCTAATCCTAGAATATTGTTTTACTTTATTTTTTATTTTCACCCTCTTTATCTTAAATTCCAAAACTAATAATTGATATTGGGTACATAAATTTTCACTCAGAATAACTTTACAATCTTTGCAATCGAAACGATATAATTTTCTTATAAGAAAATAGTTAATCTGAGTAGTATTATATCCATTTTTATAAATGATGAGATGCTCATTCCTTTTCTTAAATAAGGTATTAGCAATGAGCTCGATTTCGAAAAATATTAATAATTATTCAAGCCAGCTCAAGCTCGTTTACTAAACGAGCTCGATTTTGAGCTCGAGCTCGACTCGTGAGCTCGATAAGCTCGGCTCGCAAGCCCATAAACGAGTCATGCTCGAGCCAGCTCGCGAGCCGGCTCGACTCACTTACACCCCTACTTTAAACTACATTTCATGCATGAAGACCCCACCAAAGCTTGGGACCACCTCCAACAAACTCAAAATAATATTTGAAAAGCATTGAACCCAACAAATTCATGGACTTCAAGTTGAGTAGAAATACAAATGATAGCACAAAGAAGTGGCAGTAGTAGTATACTGTTCGTGGTTATCAAGCAAGTGTGCTAATTAGGACTAATTCTTTTAGAGGGAGCATGGGAGTTGAAACATAATGCCTTAATTTTTCATAGGAATGTATTGACGTCTTAGCTTCTAGACATGAATTGCCTGTATCAAACGTAGAGAAACGTGGAATAATTTGAAAAAGAGTATACCTTGCTATGTCTAGTGCAAAATTGATGGCCGTAGATGGACTGAGTGAGCCTTTTTCCTTCAGAAATTGATGGAGATCACCCTTGCATCCAAACACACAATATTTCAGATTAGCGAAGAAACATTGGCAAATACAACAGAAAACGTACAGATATTCAAGAAATATTTTTACCCCTCGTAAATACTCTGTGATTAACATCAAGGGTCGTCTGTCTGTTACTGCACCAAGGAACTGAACAATATTTGGGTGCCGCAACTTCACCAACAAATTGACCTCATGCCTGAAGTCTTGTCTGAATCAAAAAACCACAAGACTAATCAGAAAACTTCTTTTTTTTCTTTAACCAATCTTGTTTCCGTAAGAGATCTGATGGAGAAAAGTAACATGATTTTAAACATAAACTAATTTTATTTCTTAGTTATGTCATGTTCACTGTGACCTTGCCAAGAGAGTTTAGATATTTCCGGGTCAAATTTTCAAAAGGCACATTAAATTACAGCTAAGACAGTACATAGAGATTTCGGTATTATTTTATGAGGACTTTATGATATGGTTTCAAGTTTCCCATAAGTGTAAATCCCAATGTTTAAAATTGCGTAATCGAGTATTGAGGCGTTTTTTGTTCGTGAGGCAAGGCGTAAGCCTCAAGGCGTTTTGAGGCGTAAGCCTCAAAATTAAAAAATTGCGTAAACATAAAATGATAAATTTTGTATATACTAATGAGTAAATAATATATATAACATAAAAATGTACAATATATGAAGTGAAATCAAAATATCCCAGTAATAAGATAAAATGAAATAAAGTCCAACTTAAACTCCATCTTTCCCAAATCACAGTATTCTTTTCATTAACATATAATTCCAAAATTAAATAGCAATGACATATCACATAAGAACTCATAAGTCATTAGCACTGTCATCACCATGTTTAAAAATGTGCAATTAGGTATTGAGGCGTTTTTTTTTTTAAGGCGAGGTGTAAGCCTCAAGGCATTTTGAGGCGTGAGCCTTATAAGAAAAAAAATTGTGTTAAGTGAAAATAAATGTTAAAAGTAAATTTTTATATAATACTCAAATAATATGTTAAAAAACGGCGGTGGGTTAGAGGTTAAGAAAGTTGAGAGGAAGTTGTTGCGACTAGGGGGTACATGAAGTGTGATTGGGTGAGGCGTAAGCCTCACGCCAGTGAGGCGAGGCGCACCTTAAGGCGGGCCTCAACCAAGTTGAGGCGCAAGCCTCATAAAAAAAACTTGAGGCGTAAGCCTCAAGACGCTTTTCACTGGAATTGCGCAAAGGCGAGCCTCATATTGTGCAATTTTAAACCATGGTAAATCCCAATGGTTAACTACCACTCCCGACAACAAGAGGGAAGTTTCGATTACTGTTAGTTGTTAGAAGCTAAATGTTGAGCATATACTGCTAGCAAATTTGGTATAGAGTTGGAAATTTACCACTTGAACTTGAAGTGGGGAGAATGATGACATAATCAATATCCCATAGGTTTGTTATCCCGAATTGCTATGGATCCTAGTCTATCTAGTCAGTAGGGGCAGTTGACCTAACCAGATCAAGGATCCTTGTCGGCAATCATAAGTTGTTTTTGTCTAAAAGAACCTTGTGAACCTTGAACATAGCTACTATAGTGCTTTGTGTTCAATTAAGTGCACTCTATGATTCATTACTTATGATTTTAAGCTATTGTAGAACTTGTTCGCTCTGGTCATGACTTTAATTTAATGATGTCATTTTGCATAGAAATCACCTGATCTAAGGGGTCTCGATCATTGTTGTTTACCTATGGTGTCATTTTGCAATAAAATCACTTGTTAGAAGATACATGTCATGTCTTTGCTGATGAGAGATCATTTGAGAATGAATCATAGTGATATGTTCAACAAGACATTGGCTCTTTGTAAGCTAAGATTCTTGAACTTGTCAGCCTTAACAAATCTTGATTGTAGATCACTAACCACTAGCTCCCAATATCCCACTCACACAATCTCATAACCACCAACTATCCCACTCACACACAATCTCATAACCACCCTACTCACCCCCTCACATGGTACAAAAGAGAACCCAAGAGGAACCGCCCATCAAGCATTCGAACTCCCGAAGCCCCATCTCCCGCTCCGGCCTCAGTTCAAAATCAACACGCACGACTCCATCTGCTCCCTCTCTTCTCTATTCACTGCTCAAGTGAACAAGAGACGAGACCCCCAGACTGCTCTCCCCTTCTTCCTCATTTGCATGTAGGTCTCGTGCATGTGGAAGCTGCTCCAACCGAAGCCCTCTCTTGCTCGATATTCGTTCGTTGCACACTAAAGGTATAAATTTCTTCTTTGCTTGCTCAAGCAACAAGTACCATCACTTTAAAGACATGCGTTGGAGTATCTTAGATCTGGGCAGAATTGACCAATTTGAAGCCCCCACGCCATTGATCTGGGCGGGAAGATCTTTTAATTTGAAAACCACACGTCATTGATCGTTGATCTAGGTGCACTGTTGATCTTTGATACGGGCAAGAGGAACTAAAGGAAAATGCCTCCCAATCTCCCCTCGCATGGAGGGGACATTGGGAGGTTGCCGGAAATTTAAACGATAAATAAGTTACACTTAATTAAATTAAAAACAAATTTTTAAACAAAAATACATATCATTTTCTAATTCAACATCATCTCTCCCTAAATCTAAGTTATGGATGGATCTCTACTCTGTGAAAGATATGAATATCATTTACAAAGCATAACCCAACCCAATCCAATACTCATGAACCCTAGGGAACAATTTATCTTAAAATGAAAGTCATGACTAGAGCCTCTAATTACAAATTCTCAAATGCCATATGCATTAATATTAGAAATATTGGCCCATATGCAAATAGTTGTCCTCAAAAGAGTCTCCACTTGGAATCAGTTAATCTTAATCAATCGGACCACTAAGGGGATGACATGATTGAGTGTAACCCTTAAGATAATGTCAATGACGTAGATGAAGAACTCACACTTAGTCATGGTGTGATGTATGCCAGCAACCTGGCAAAATGAAATTTGATTGTACATGCATCTACAACTTCCCACTTAGTTCTAAATTAGAGACAAATCTTACAAACTTATCATCAATAATGATAATTGAATGAACATTGCTTCAACTTCTATTTTGACTAGATGAAGCTTACCCTTGAGATGCATCCATAGCCTTAAAAGATTTTCTGGAAGAATAAAATCACTATTTATATCACCCAAATATATCTTGCCCCTTTGTAATTGAACCTATCCAATTTTATATGTATGATATACTCCTCATGGATGTTAATTATGAAGTTCTAAAGGGTCCTTAACTATATGATTTGGAGATCATTCAATATGGACATTCTAACAATTATAACTTCAAAAAAAAAAAAAAAGATCATTCTTAACCCAATCAAGTCAAAGGAAGTTTCATTTGTAAAACCCAACGAGTCGTCTGCTACCACGAATCATTAAAATAGAAAGAAGAATAAGCACCAAATTCACCTATATCTAGTTCAACATATTGATTTTCCCAAAGCTAACATCTACAAGATAACTTTCCTCTAATTGGATATATTTTCTACACATTCCAGCATGTGCTCTGATCATCACATATGGTTCCAAAATATAAAGATTCGAAAATGCTGGCGGGTTAAATTTTCAAGTTACATTCTCCTCTTGAAAGGACTGGAGTCGACTTGACTTGTATTAACAAAACAAAAGCCTAATCATAAATCTAATAGGATGTTTAAATTCCTGATGATGGCCGTATTGACAGAAAATCTAAACTGGAGGGGACCCCAAACTTTTAAAATGCCTCATAAATTCTTATAAAATACATAAATTTAAAGTGACTTTAACGTCACCTCGATGATGACCATGTTAAAGAAAAATCTCAACTGGAGAGGTTAATGTTCAAATCCTATAAATTTCAAAATCTAATATTTGTTAAATCTCAAACTTATAAATGGAAATCTATCACCAAAAACTAAAAATTGAAATCGATCCACACCTCGCAAAGGTTTGGCGAAGATGATGAATTAATGGATAACTTCAGCTCACAAAAAGAAGATATCTTGTATAATATTTTACTACAATTCATTCTCAATTGATTCACCGCCACCGAGGACGTGGCACATGCCCTTTGATTGGGTGGTTTTTGCCGCAAAATAGCACCACTATATTACAATCACGGTCAAAGCCTGCATGTTCCATAATGGTTAAAAGCCCCTTTAGGATGCATCCTACAAAATATAAAACCCTATGTCAGCTAAGGTGAACTTAAATTCATCACCTTAGCAAAACATCCACTCTAGGTCTACAAGCTATTCTTGGATGAAGAAACCCATGGTTATCGATAAAATGGCTTCTGTTAGGTTGGGACGACTACCTCCTCTGACTAAGTAGACTAGGGACCATGACAGCTCGAACCGATGGAACCATGGGATCTTGATTGGGCTCTTCTTTGTCCCCCACCCCCTCTCCCCCAATCTGTTTTAAGTTTATGGTTATCATTTTCAGATCTTAATCCAAAACTCAAATTTAAAATCCCTAAAACTGTTACTACTATGTATATTGGGTATTCAATGCCTATCTCACGATTAACCTTAATCGAAAGTTCTCTCTCATTATCGAGAGAGGTAATTAACTATAAAGGCTTGCGCTTATAGGAAACCAAAACTCAAATCAAAGTTCTCACAAAATGAGGATGAAATCTCTGGGTAGTATCTTATCTAAAACCCAATCTTCCTTCTGAAAATTTTTCTGAAATTTAAATTTGTTAATACTCGCCCCGTCAAGTCAAATAAAAAAAAGAGCCGGCATAAAGAGGCCAGGGGAGGGAACAAATTTTTTCGGATCCCACAAACAAATGGTTGTAGAAAATGAATTGAATTTTACATTAAATTTGTGAGTGGTAGATTTCACTTGAATAATTTAAATTTTGAAATTGTCTTGATATTATCATATTTTACTTGAATTCAAGTCTAAAATAGTTTGCATAAGGATTTGAGAGTATTTAAAAAAAAAAAGTCCCCTCAAATCAAGTTTTTTTCACGTAATTGTCATTGGAGTATTTGAATATTTTTATTTTGGTACATTCAACCTTGTCGAAGTTGTAAACAACCAGTACAATAACAAAAGTTAAGCAACACACTAGTCCTACTAGATAAAAAAGAAGCATATTTCATAATAGTTAACATATACGATATAGCTAATTATGGACAAAGTAAAAATTGCATACAAGCAAACACAACACAAACTTGACACTACAACCATTATATGTGACAAATAATTTCAAGTCATTCAAAATCATGTTGTTGGTCCATAACAATGATTGGTCTTATCATTTAATAAAATAGTGTAATTTTCATATGCAATATTTGATAATAGCAAATAATAGCATAATAGCCTTGATATTACGTAGGGATGATTAAAAAACACCTCAAAACTTGAAATTTGCTCAAAATTTGCAAGGGAATTGATTGGACTCAAAATCAACTCAACTCAATTTTGAGTCAATTTCAAACTCCATTCTAGACTCGAAATCAATTTGAGGTTGCTATTTAACTCATTTGAATATATTTGAAGTCAACTCAAAATATATGTTTGGATAAATTATATAATTATATAATGCAAAATATGTATGACATGCATATTTATATATGTACTAAATTAAAAATCAATTTCTAGTTAATTAGGAATTGAATCATTGAGTTTAGTAGACTCGGTCCAAAATAATTTGATTTTTAGTCGACCAAAAATTGAAAAATTTTATTTCAAATTGCACTCAAGTTTCTCAAATTTAACTCAATATCACCCCTAACATCAGGTGATGCCAAAACAAATGGCACGAATTGAACAAGGTAAGGAAAGTAACATAAATTGTTTGTCACAACTTGGGCATTTTGAAATTCAGGCTGGTATGAGATCTAGATTTTGTTTTTAATAAAATTAATGTTCACTTTAAATCTCCCTATATTGACAATACTTTTCCGACAAACAAATTATATGATGCTGGTCCTTACGCCAACCTTTTAAGCTTTAAAATGTTTTTATAGAGAATAAGGTAAACGAACAGTTAGGAGGACTTACCTAGGTTACTACATCTAGAACATAGCCGAGGGGTAAACGTAATAAAGGAAAATTTCAATAAATTAAGTTTTTGATGTCGTAAAATAACTTAGATAACCCATAAGATCCAAACTTAATGGTATCAGAAATAAAACATAACAATGATAAAAGATTTCAAAATTATCCAAATAACAATAACTTTCAGATAAAGGTTCGCAGGATCTTCCATATGCTTGATAATTGCGGTCCACACATAGAGCTCAGGTAATGGGTTGCGATGACTTTACATTGACCAATCTGGTCTACAGATCATAGTGGCAAAGTTGGTCCGTATTTACATGGTCATCAAGTACTTAATATCTAAATATAATGTTTATTTCTTAAAAGTAGTGGAAGAGCATTTTTCAAAACAAAACTCACATAACCAATCTATCATCTGATAAAGCTGGAAGAATGCGTTTAACTGCTACCGGTGTCCCACGCCAAAAAGCCTTCAGAATCTCACCAAAGGACCCCTGCAAGAGTACCAGACGGACATAAAGAAGGTTCAATACAAACATCTGCAAGTCAAATGATAGTTGAGAAACAACACACTTGAGATCTACGGCATACTATAGTTTCTTTTGAAGATATTTTAACCAGATGAATGCAGATGCAGGAAATGCTTTCGTAAGAACAAACAGATCTACCTGGACATGTGAAATATAACAGAAATCTTGGAATCTCATCCCTTGCAATATTTTGAACCATAGTTTTAGACATTGACAGAAACGCCAGACCATAATAACAACAATTTCCATTTTATGGCAAACTTCGCTGCAAAGTGGTGCATATTTATTAATGTGCTAATAAAATTAGCAGCTCAAGCGAGGATAAATGTTACCTAAGAAATTCAAACTTTCCCAAGTAAGAATTTTTCTACTAGCAATATCTAGAACAAAAATATAGCACCTCTCTCTATCTATAAACATCATATTTAAATGTCTTTTTTTTTTCTAATTTAGGTTATCATCATCATAATTAGCCTTATTGACAGAAGTTCAAAAATTTATAGTCAGAAATGCAGGATGTGAGCACAGTGACGATCAGAAATGTAAGACGTGAGCATAGTGATGAACACAATGACACCCTGACTTTTAGTTCTGTTCTAGTTGTATTATTTCGTTTTTTCCAATTTATTCTATAGCATGCATATTATATTGGTGCTTATAAAAATAGCATGCATGCTCTACTGTTTTGATGACCTTGTTGAATTTGATTTACTGCAACAAGTTATTTCAATACAGCTCTTGGATTCACTCACTTAGTTCTTTTGGTTCCTTGATTAGTCCAACCTTTAGAATTGGAAGTGTATTATTGCTCATACTGCCTTGTTTTTTTTTTTCTTTGTTTAGTATTGCACGGTAGTTGTTGATTGTTTTTTTTTTTTAGCCGACCCCCACGTAGTGGGATAAAGGCTTGATGTTGTTGTTGTTGTTGTTGTAGTATTGCACGGTAGGACAATAATTGCACAAACTGATTTGCAGTTGTTTTGCATAGTGGATTTGTGCTTCATGATGCTAGTGGACTTGTGATTTGCATAGTGGTTTCTTACAATGACGTACGTGCATTTTTCCTACTTTTGACTTTCCCACTTAAGCTAGAGTTGCTGATTGTTTTTATCTTTCGACTTTGCTATCATATCTATGCTTGTAGGTAACTTCCTTCTACGTGTGGTCTCCAAAAACTCGTGCCCAACTACGTTTGGTCAAAATTTCAAAAGATAGATTAGATTGTATATAAGATTATCAAGAGATTTCATCCTCATTTTATGAAAATTTTATGATTTGGTTCCATACTTTTGATAAGTGTGACCAAATTTCAAAAGATAGATTAGATTGTATATAAGATTATCAAGAGATTTCATCCTCATTTTATGAAAATTTTATGATCTGGTTCCATACTTTTGATAAGTGTAAGCCGCTATGAATAATTACCACTCTTGATGATGAAATAGAACTTTTTTATTTAAGCGCAATCGTTAGTTGTTAAGTGCTTGCATATAGTAGCAACAAATTTGATTTTTAAGGTTGAGAAATTTACTACCGTAAACTTAAAATGTATGGTGAGGAAATTGATGAATATACCATAATTTTGTTGACCTTGGGTTGCCATGATTTCTAGTTTACTTATCAGAAGAGGCAGCCGACCCAACCTGACTGAAGAATCCTTATCGGTTATCATGAGTTGTTTCGTCTAGGGAGACATTGTAGATTTGAGGTTAATGTTTATTTAAGGGGAAAAAATTAAGCCAAACTTAGTTAACATGGAGCTTTATGCTCTATCAAGTGTATTATATGATTCACTACTGAAAGATTTATAGCCGTTGTGGAACTAGCGGGTTATGTCCATGACCATAATTTAATGATGTCATTTTTGCAGTGAAATCACCGATTAAAGGGTCCCAATCACTACCGTTTAAATGTGGTCCATTGGACGATAAACTACTAGTTAGAGGATATGTGTCATATCCTTATTGGAGAAAAATCATTTGAGAGTGAACATAGTGATACGCTTGATAAGACATTGATTTTTAATGAGTTAAAGTTATTTTATCACCCTCAATACAAGTAAGGAGCCGACTACAGAGAGGAGAAAAAGAAGATGAGGGAAAAACAGGAAGGTTATGGATTGATTTCAAGCAAGAAAATACGTCTATTTATTACAATTGTGATATTTTTCCACTTCGCAAACAAATACCGCAAAGAAAAAAAAAATTATATCTATAATAAAAACCTAAATAAGTTCAAACTAATAATATTTTCTACAAAAATTATTGTCTTTTGTATTTAAATTTAAATAAAATTATATTCAAAACTCTTGTATTCTAGATTTTGATCTAACAATCCAACTCTTAGTTAATGCTCTCTCTCATATAATGTTCAAATTGTGATCAGATTGTTCCTTTACATAAAACTTGAATTTACATAATTCTTTACATAATATAATATTATTAGATGATAAATTAATATTAAATTATTATTTTTATTGAAATTTGGCTTTACTTACCCTTTACATTTATATATCCCTCTTTCTCTTCATGTGAGGATGTTCAAAAGTGAAAACTCCAGCAATCATTTCATTAATCTTTCCTTCTTTACCTGCTAAAGCTTGAGAGGAGAAACTTTCATCTTCATTCCAAGAGCTCTTTTAATTTGCAAGATCAAATTCTTTGTTGGAAAACTTCAACGCACTAAATCGTTCCAACTTCAACGCACTAAATAGTGTAAATTTCTTGGAGTTATTGAGTTTTCTTTCTTCCTATAAATATTTGGTGATATCCTCAATCTCAATTGTATGATCACAGAATAACCACCTATGATAATTATCCTCTTCAATCTAAATAGTAGGATTAGAGAATCATCACCTACAATAATTTCCATGGATAAATCAGACTATTAAAATGTTAACGAACACAATCTCTTCAATCCTTTCATTTTCTAAAATCCAAATTGTGACGAAAGCTTCTAATAGGCTTTTTTGAAGTAGAAGGTCAAATTGACTAGCCCCTTCATGATCTAGCTATGGATCATCGTCATATCCAACACAAGGTTAACTATAAAGTTTCAATTTATCACTTTTAAATATTTATCCAAAAAATTAAAACTAGCCATCCCTTTTGTCCTTTAGAAAATTTCTAAAATAATTTCAATTAATTTGTTGACTCTTTATGAACATGGTGTACAGATTTAACATCAAATGGAATTAGAAGTATTATTTGACTCCTTCGCGTCATGTCTAGCCATGTCTACTGTTCATGATCAATTTTTTTATTTAGACTTTGATATGTGTAAGATTATGACAGCTCATCATCGTTAGACTTTGATATGTGTAAGATTATGGCATTACCTCATCTTCAATAGACTACAACCATTGCCCTTATAACATATTCATTCTTCGATATATCCTTTCTAACTTGGAAGAAATCTGTCTTAACATTCTCATTTTTGTTATACTTAACTTGGATATCAATAATTTTTTTAATTGCTAACTTGGCTCCATCTAACATAGTTAGCTTAATTGTAGTTTTTATAAAATTTATTTTTTGCAAGAGGATGTACCTTGGTGTATGCTTTTTGCTGATAATATTGTTCTTGTTGATAAGACTAGAGAGGGAGTTGAAAGTAAACTTGAATTATGGAGGTCAACATTAGAGACTAAAGGTTTTCGCTTGAGTAGATCTAAAACGGAATATATGGAGTATAATTTTAGTAGTAATAGACATAGTGAGAGGATTGTGACTTTGGGCGATCAAGCCATTAATAAGAGTACATGTTTTAGATATCTTGGATTTATTGTTCAGAGTGATGGTGAAATAGATGGGGATATTATCAACAGAATTCAAGTTGGATGGTTGAAGTGAAAGAATTCATCGGGCTTGTTGTGTGATAGAAAAGTACCCCTCAAACTTAAGGGAAAATTCTATAAGATGGTAGTGAGGCCTGCAATGCTTTATGGTACTAAATGTTGGCCATTAAAAGAGAAGCATAATATTAAGTTAAGTGTGGCAGAGATGAGGATGCTCAGGTGAATGAGTGGCTTTACCTTGTCATGAACAAACAATAAAAATAATAAAAAGCAAAACAAAATAATTTGTTGACTTAATATACCTCATATTAGTCAAATTTGGAAAATATGTTCAACATCTATTTTTTGGATAAATATCTGGAAGTTCTGTCTCCAACCAAAATAACCTTCCTATGCTTGTATTCCCTCTATATTGGGAGAATGAGGTTCCACCCTTTCATGCTTTGATTTTCTCCATTGCTTTAGTCATCCTTTTGTGATAGGTAATACTTGAGTTTGCAAGTAACCCTAAGGGAAATGCTTGAGTTCGCAAGCAAACCTAGCAGAAATTGGTGGAAACAACGAGAAATCTTGCTGATTTCAGAGATAAATCAGTAATACGAAGCAGAAATTTCAGAAAAACTGGAAAGAAACAAGGAAACTTCTTCTATTCAATCCACGAACAAGAAACGCAATACAAGATACAAGTTTCTAGATTCGAGAGGAAGAAACAACTCTCCAAATCTCTAACAACGCCTAGAGCCCAAGAAGAACAAACCCTAGATCTCCAATCTCTTCCAAATTCAAGATGAAAAGCAAACCCTAACCAAAAAGACTAATTAAAGCCAAATGACTCTTACAAAAAGACAAAACAGCCCTTAATTCAAACTTTCCCTCATAAACAGAGATTACATTAAGCAATTGGGCCCACTAGGGCACCCCCGCCCCCCTTCCCTCGAATCCGCACCCCACCTGGCCCAAGCCGGCTGCTGTAGCAGGAACAGGTCCAGGTTGGACTGGTTCAGCCGGCCCCTCCTAGGCCGGCCTAACATTACTCCCCTTCAAAAGATTCACATTGTCCTCAAGGTGAAAAGAAGGAAACTGGAGCCTCACTCTCTCATATGACTCCCAAGTGGTATCGAAATCGGGAAGGTCCCTCCATTTGATAAGCACTTCTTTGTTTCCCTTTTTATCGGATATGACTCCCCCCAGCTCCAGTGGTTCTAAAACCACTTCCAAGTCCTCTATCAGTGTAATTGGCAACTCTGCACAAACTGCATGGTCCCCCTATGATACATGGAAAACTAGGTGTATGGTGGCGAATGGGGGTAACTTCAAACGATACGCCACTGCTCCGATCTTGTCCAAAATCTCATAGGGACCAAAGTACATTGGAGCCAATTTCTCGTTTCTCCTGTTAGAACCTGATCTTTGCCTGTAGGGCCTTAGTTTCAAGAATACTTTCTCACCAACCTCAAATTGTATGTCCCTCCTATGTCTATTTGTCTGCTTCTTCATGATTTGTTGTGCCCTGGATAGATGTTTCTTCAATTCTTCCAACACCTTATCCCTTTCCTCTAACTACTGCTCAACTGAATAAACTGGTGTGCTCCCCCTCCCAAAATGCTAAGTGTGGGGGCTCTCTTCCATATAGTATTTTAAAAGGAGTCATCTGAGATGCAGAATGGTACGAAGTATTGTACCAATACTCAGCCCATGCTAACCATTTAACCCACATACGTGGCTTTTCAGAGACAAAACACCTCAAATAAGTCTCCAAGCTTCGATTCTCCACCTCTGTTTGATCGTCTGTCTGCAAATGCTAAGCGGTGATTCTCTTAAGAATAGTGCCCTACAACCTGAACATCTCCCTCTAAAACTGACTGAGAAAAATTTTGTCTCGATCAAACACAATCGACCCAGGAATCACATACAGTCGAACCACCTCCCTGATCAATGTTGTTGCAGCTGTCATTGCGGTGTAGGGATGTCGTAAGAGGATGAAATGTGCATACTTACTAAGTTTGTCAACCACCACTATGATGATTGTGAATCCTTCTGATCGTGGTAGGCCATCTAGAAAATCCATGGACATTTTCTCCCATACTCTGTTTGGAAGCGCCAAGGGCTGTAGTAATCCTCTTGTAGCCATTGCCATATATTTGTTTCTCTAGCACACTTCACACCTCGTCACCATCTCCTCAATATCTTTATACATCCCCTTCCATTAAAGCTTGGATGCCAGCCTTTTAAAGGTCTTATGTACTCCTGAATGACCTCCAACTGCACTGTCGTGGAACTCCTGTAATAAGTGAGGAATATATATGAAAGTTCGTGGTCACAAACCTCCCTTGATACAATAGTCTCTCCCCCTCAATATAGTAAACAGAATGGCTACTATTATCTTTCATCAAATCCTCCCTGATTTTTCTCAACTATTTATTCTGCATGCTTTCTTCCTTGATTGCCCCCCAATCTATCATCAGTGGTATTGAAACAACCAACTCCTGAAGTTCCCCAACACATTTGAATAAGGCATCGGCCGCCTTATTTTTCATCCCAGGCCTGTAGAGGATCTCAAAATCAAAGCCTATTAGTTTGGAAAACCATCTTTGATGCTTCCTATAGCATATTTGTTAACAAGAACTGCTGGTCATTTATCAACCTAAAAGTGAATGTTAGGGAATGTTTATGTTTCGTTTTACTGCAGCTAAGAAATTGTAAGCCAGTGCCTACACAGTAAACCTTCTACCTATATTTTCAAAGCCTGAAACAGTAAAAATAGGCATCCAGTCAAAATATCCATCAGCGTACGGATTCCATTTAGGATTCCATTTATTATTACCTCAAGAAGAATTGTTCCAATTCAAACAAATTTGATTGAACTTTGTTCTACCAGCTTCATACAAAAGGGCCTACTTCATTCTTGTCAGTTTATGTGAATGAAATCCTTAAAATTATATAATCATATGGACAAGACCCTACAACATGAACTTGGTTAAAACTGAACCCACTAGACTAAATTTAACCAAGAAACCATAAAGATAAACGCCTATCTCTAATGTAATATGCCAACAATCAACATTCAGTTCTGTTGCGTCCAGCCATTGAACCAAGAAAAAGAAAATTTTAGCATAAAAAATAAAACATGCCATGAATAAATAGCACACATTAACCGATCAGAAACAAGGGACTAACCTTTCCTATTACAGAAGAGGCTGAGAAATCTAGCTCAGATGGATCAATTTCCCAGTCACACTTGTTTGGAAGAGGGGGTAAGACAGGTGTTGGTTCAAAATGGCTTCCATTTTGTCCCTGCACCAAATATGCAATGCAATGCATCTAGGGCATCAATTTAAAAGCAATAATTATCATCAAAAGATAACATGATTCTTCTAAATCTGTCATAAAGCAAGCATGCCACTTACAAATCTCATTACAATAAAAATTAAAGCCTAAACAGAAAAGAGGTGGAAGATATAATCCTAAGCAGAACATAGCTACACCACCCAACGGTCATAAATTGTTTCTGATATCAATCCTACAGGTGAAAAATATATACAATTTGAAGTACAAGGATTCCATTGCAATCCTCAATAAGAATGACTACTAACATAACCCATGGAAAAGAAAAGATGAAATGATGCGCAGCTATACAACTCTTTTAGGGGAATGATGATTCGAAAAAGATCTAGCTTTGGTATTGTTAATATGTTTAGCTATGATTCAAGATTAGTACTGAATATGGTAGTTCCTTTTTTTATTTTATGAATGTAAATCCAATCTTCTTTAGGGGAATAAAGCTCTTGCCATCTCTTTGGAAGGAAAAGACCAAAAGCCCTGACTTAGTACATATTGGCATAAATTCTGTCTTGCCAGCACAATTTGGATTCATTGCTAGAGCACTGCAGTCATGTTTCGCGTTGAACTATTGCAGTAAAGGAAAATGTGTACCTATATCCCCTTCATTCCCACCTTCAAGTTTATACTATGGCTCTTGGCTCAAGGTAATTGCGTTCCTAGATCAACTACATTTTCAAAAAGCGTATGTATGAATTAATAAAAACATTTACGGATTGCATAACTCAAAAACACACAAATTGAAAATATATATTCAATGGCCATCCATACGAGCCTTTATATTTTTGAATTCAAACAATTATCAACTCAAAATTTTTTAAAGCCAACCCCAGATCCCATAAAAAAAGTATAGCCAATAAAGACAACAATATTATATAAAAGATACAATTGATCCTCAATTCGAGAGGAGGATCGATCTCTCCCAAATCTCTAGACGCCGCTAGAGCCCAAAGAAAACCTAAATCTAAGAGATCTCAAATTTCAGCCAAATTCAAGATGCCCAAACCCTAGCAAAAATCAACTATTTAATGCATACAAATCAAAAGGAATTCCCTAAACAGTCCCTACATTCAAATTTCTCTCTAAAACCCCCCAAAAATCCTTCCTAAAACGCTCCGTTTGAGCTGTCGGCCCGCCCGATCTCCGCAGGAGGCGGAGATCACGCGACGTTTCGCGTCTAAGCCGGTCCGTGCGGACCGGTCCACGGACCGGCTGGACCGGTCTAACACATTCTTGCTGACCGCTAAGACAAATAAAATGCTAAATACTTTGTGTTCAATTGTGCAATGCTTCATGGCCCTGAGGTTGTGGCTTCAAACATGTAAGAAGAATCTAGTAGATGTCTTGATAGCTTGGATTCCCAAGAAGAAGGAGAGTAAAACAAGGTTCTCCATGCTGAATAATGATTGGAGTTTGTGAAGTAAGCCTTTGATGGTATTGTAGTTGTTCCTTGTTATAAGAAAGTCATTGATGTAGAATAATAAGTATATATTTGTGTCATCATTGTGATTGATAAGCAAAGAGGGATCTACCTAGGTAAACTGAAACACAAGTTGTTGGAGATGGCCCGATAAAGTGTTGAACGATTGTCATGACGCTTGTTTGAGGCCATAAGGCCTTCTTGAGTAGACAAACGTGGTTTGGATATTTGGAGTTGATGAAGCCTAGGAATTGATGCATATAAACTGCATTAGCCAATTTACTGTAAAGAAAGGCATTTAAGACATCAAGTTGAAGAATTTTTCAATCATAATGAACCATTGATAAAATTTCTAATTATGGGTATTTCAGCTACTTGACTAAATGTGTCAATGTAATCAACACCATGCTCTTGATCATAACCACAAACTACTAATCGAGCTTTGTACCAAGCTATGGATCCATGTGCATTATAACTAGTTTTGTAGGTCCAACAATACCCAAGTATAGTATGATCGGACAATGGTGCAACTAAGCCCAAGTTCCTTGAGTTTGGAGAGAAATGAATTACATTGACATTGTTTGTCTCCAGTAGGGATATTAATATTTAACATCCTACAAGTAACATGTTGGATCTGCTAAGGAGGAGATGAAGTGTTGTAGTGAGAGTGCTATTTTGGGCTTTAGATATCTAATTTTAGACCTAGTGAACATGGGGTGAGATGATAATGGTTGTTATATATTAGGATAAGTGGTTGAAAATTGTGTAGTTGGGCTGAGAATAGAGGGGTCATGTTGAGTTGTGGAGATAAATTGAGTGAGTTGAAATTTTCATAAAGCATTGTTGAGTCTGATTGGTATACTGCCATGGCTGGAAGAGGTCGCAGGGATCTTTGCAAAAAATTACTGGACCTAGGACACTACGGCTCTGATACCATGATGGAAAATCAAAGTTGAAGAAATGCAATGTACTGTAGAAATAAGTGCAAAAACAATAAAACAGCAGCTTGCAAATAGTGGAGAATATTGTATAAATATACATTCATTCATTTAAGCACACATATAATGGATGTACAGGGAGATATATACTGGTAGACTGGTAGCATAAAACATAGTTAGATGAGTAGCAGAAATTTGTTTGCAATGGAAGGTGAGGATTAGATGCAAGGAAAGGTGGCTTCTCCACTTGTGATAAGTAGCAGGTGTTTTCATGAGCTAGGTTATTGCCTCCTCTCAAGTTGGCTATTCAAGAGCAATGGTCAACTTGCCACGACAATGTTGAAAGCATGTAGTGGAGCGCAATTTGGTGGAAATATCGGCTTGTTAATCTTGAGGGCTTGTTAATCTTGAGAGCTCACATGAAGTTGAACTACTTTAATTTCGTTGGATTGAATGTGCTCGTGAATGAAGTGGTAATATATTTTGATATGTTTTGTGCGTGCATGAAAGGCCAGATTTGTTGTGATGGCCATGTTAGATATATTATCACAATAAATAGGTTGGTCCATGGGAATGCCAAATTCGTATAGAAGACATCTTAATCAAATGATATCCATGGCTGCAGATGCTATCGTCCTGTACTCCGCTTAAGCAGATGATCTTGCCACGATTGTTTCTTCACACTCAAGGAAAAGAGGCTGCCTTCAAGATAGGAACAATCAAATAAAACAGATAAGATGCTAGATGCTTTGGGCTCAATTGCGCAAGGCTTCGCAGCCCTGTGGTTGTGGCTCCAACAATGTAGGTGGGAGTTCAAGCTACTAACTTCGATTAAATTCCAAATTCCACCCACAAAAACAAATGAAGAAAATACTTTGGGCTCAATTCTTTCTCATCAATCCTATAAACATGGCTACATATTTTATTAGTGTGTATTTTGTTGTCCATTAGCACATACTGAAATTATCAAAGTTTATTTTTCACTATCAGACCTATTTTCTAACCTTTTTTTAATATTATCATTTCTCGTATCCTGCTTAGTTAAACGTGCATATATGCCTAACGTTCTAACGCATCCGCCCTTTTACTTTTCTTTGACCAAGATCACGGATCATGATTTATGAACGAGAACGTAAGGGAAACGTGAAAAATAGACGACAACACGGTCGAAAATAATCATTTGATCGAAAGATAATAAGAGATCGGAACGATGGAGTACCGTATTCTTCCAACGATCCTGGGAATTGACGTCAGCGCCGTACTCGAGGAGGCACTTGGCCACATCGATCCAGCCATGAAGGGAGGCCACGTGAAGCGGAGTGCGATTGTCGTAGTCCGTGGCGTGCACGAGGCTGCTATCTTCCTGCAGGAGCTTACGGACGGCGGCGGCGTCATTCTGGTGGGTATGCCATAGTATGAGCGACGTCCTATTCACCCTTGTCTTCTCCTTCTTCCTGTCTGCGGAAGAAGAAGATGTACCCGACGATCCGCCGCTGCCCGTTTCCTCGTTGGAATTCGCTGCCGCCGAAGTATCATTGACACTCATATCTACTTCTTCGCCCTTAGCCGTGCGTATTCCCCTCCCCTTCACCTGCCTCTTTGCCGGAGGAGCAGGCTTCGAGTTTCGAGATCTGCCGTATTTTCCCAGGCACGTTCCTCCACGTTCTATTGGTCTTCGGTGCTTGTGTTGGGTGCAAGTGAGTCCAGCCAATTCTTGAGCCGACCAGCCTTGTGAGTTTGTGTGCTGGAGAAATTATTGCGTGTGGCGGGCCTACAAACTAGTCGGGCCTTAACTTTCCACGTAAGCACGCCACGCGTTTTATTTTTATTGGCTACTGTTACAGACCGAACACATTGTTGTGATCGGATTCCACACGCAATAATTTCTCTGTGTGCTGAGCTCGGTATTACACGAAGGCTTTTAAATTAAAATTATTTTTTAATTTTATCTTACTTTAACAAGTCATGTGAGTTTTGTAATAAAAAATCATTGCCCTATCATTGATTTTAAATTATTTATAAAGTTGGTTTTTTCTTAGAAATTTTGGGGCAATTTGCCCATTCAATAAAAGAAGAAGAAATTACAAGTAAAAGCTACTCAAAACAAACAACAAGCTCACATGCCTAACAATACAAAATGGCAGTGGTGAGGCAAAAAGAAAAAATAGTTGCAAGAAGAGTAAGATAAAAACAAAGGCTTAATGGATTCAGAATGCCCAAAAAGAACCTCCCACAAAAAATATGAGCATCAAAACGCTCCTGGTTATTGCGAATAGACCATCCAAAGGAGCAGCTGGTGGGGACCAGCATTCATCATCGTCCAATCAAAAACATCTATGGCATGTATGAGCAACACAACGATATCCTGGTTGCCCACAAGGGTCATCGAAGAGTATATGAATAACCAAATCAGAGGAAGCCAACGGGCAAAAAACAAAAATGTATCAAACCAGCAGAGAGAACCAATTCTGGATCGATGCAAAAAAGTCATGGAATTTCAGTGAAGACAATGTTGAAAAAGATGTAAACTCTTCCATTTATAAGTCTTAAAAATCACCACCTTCTTGATTTTGTCCATAATGTTCAAGTGACTTTCAAAGGTGTTGCCAAAAAGTCTATTATTCCTTTCCCTGCAAATGAAATAAATAGCAGCACTGGTCATAAAGAAATAAAAATTTTTCATTTGCCTACAAATGTTCCTTTCTTCCAAATGAGAAAAGAGCTGGTTGAGATTCGGTCTCAACAGCAAGTAATTCGAGTGAGGGATGACATGTTGAAGAATAGCATAAGAGAAATCACATTAAAAAAAAGGTGAGAGTGTGATTCAGAAGCAGTATAACATAGAATACACCTTGAGCCCACAGGGATCCCTCTCCTAATAAGTAAATCGGTCGTTTTTAATCCACGTTTAAAAGTCAGCCAAGCAAATGCAGAATACTGAATTGCATGATTTTTGTGCCAAATAAAATCATGCCAATCAACTTTAGGGGTTTTATCATAAAATTGCATTAGAAATTTCCTGAAAATAGGCTTATCCGAGCCTTTCCAAGGACATACCTCATTAACAGTAGAAATCTGGATAAAATGAATGGCAGTAGAAATAAGGGTAGGAAGAGAGGCAGGGAGATTCTAGGTCCCATCTGAGATGAATTGCCCAACCAGCTGTCGTAAAAAATTATAACTAATGTGCTCCATATTAAAATCAGTAAGCAAATCCATAACTAATTTTCCTTTACACCAAGGATCCCATAAGAAAGCAAGGGTAGAATTACCCTGAGTGTTGAAACTAATAGAGTTTTGGATTTTCTTAGCAACATCATAAAACAAGTTCCAATAAGGAGAACTATGGCTAGTAGTTCTATTCCAAAAAAAGATGTATTTAATCCTCCACCAGCTAAATAAAATGCTTTTAGAGTTAAAAAACCTACAAATCAGTGAGCAACTAAAAGCATGCTAAAGTGAGTCAATGCTAGGAATCCCAAGACCGCTAAATGGTTTGGTGGTGCAGGTTTCCTTCCAAGAAACCATGTGTAGCTTCTTTTTATGAATACTCCCATAAAATAAGAATCTATAGCATATTCTATTAATAATTTTGCAACAAGTTTTAGGAATAATAGCACCTCTAATCTAATAAGCCAAAGTATTGCAAATAGCAAATTGTAGGAATTAGATTCTCCCTGCCAAAGAAAGAGTCTTTGCTTTCCATCCATCCAAATGACAATACAGCTTTTGTATCAAAGGCTGATAATCAGCATTATGAAGCTTTCTAGTAAATATTGGAAGGACCAAGTATTTAATGGGAATATGAGAAATATGGACATTAAGAATATTGTTGATGTTGTCTTTCTCCAAAATATTTTTAGAGAAAAGAATAGTTCTTTTTGCATAATTAACTTGAAGCCCTGAGGAGGACCCAAAAGATGTCAATAAGCTAAGAGTAAGAGCATTCTGAGTATTAGCTTTCCCAAAACCCAGTAAATCATCAGCATATAAAAGATGTGAGATATTAAATTCGTAATGGAAACTCCCATAAATTGATTGTTAGAAGCTGCTTCCTCAAACAAAGAAGAAAGATCATTCATAATAATACAAAATAAATAGGGGGATAGAGGGCATCCTTGACTGATGCTAGAAGTTGAACTCAAGAAGCCTTCCAAGGCTCTATTAATAGAGATCGAAAAATAGGCATTAGTAATACACCCCTTAATCTAATTTACAAAAGTTTTAGGAAAACCTTTTTGAAGCAGCCAACTGAGAAGGAAATCTCAAGAGATTGAATCGAAGGATTTATGTATATCAAATTTGGCACAAAAGATTTTATCTCTAGCCTTTAAGTTGAAATCCCCAAGAATATCATAAGCAAACAGAATATTATCTAATATAGATATATTTTTAATAAATTTAGTTTGACTAGGATGAATGATAAAAGGCATGATATCCTTCATTCTACTGACAAGAATTTTTGCAATGATTTTATAAAAGGTATTGTATATGGAAATAGGTCTGTAATTCGATATGCTTTCAACATGAGGCTTCTTGGGAATAAGAGCAATGACAGTAGCTTTGGCATGTTTGGGAAGAGAGGCATTAAAAAAAAGGAAATCACAGTATCACAAAGTTGCTTACCAATGACATTCCAAGTAGTTTTATAGAAACCAAAAGTGAAGCCGTCAAGTCCTGGGGCTGAAGAAGAGGAAGAAGAGAAGATAACCGCCTTAATTTCCTCCACAATTATAGGATTAATCAAAGTAAACTGTATATTAGGTGGTATAATACCACCAGAAGGAATCAGGCAGAAGTGATTAGCTGGAGGTTGCAAGGAGGTGTTGAGAGCTTCTTGAAGTGTTGTATGGTAACCTCACAAATATATTGGGGATCACAGAAAACACCATCAGATGTACTAATGCATTTGATAAAATTAATATTATGTCTAGCATTGATTTTGGAATATATAAATTTCAAATCATCCTCCCCACTAGTCAACCAATGGGCTTTACCTCTTTGGGCAATCCAATTACACAAATTAGAATTTTTATGGGCAAGTTTGACATTAATGGCCTTAATAGCTTCATTTAAATTAGAGTCCAAAGGATGTTGTTGAATATGAGACAAATAGAAATTTTGAGCTTCAGTGAGATTCTCAATCTCACATTTAAGCAAGTTGGAGGAAGCCCAATTTATAGCTTTAATACTATTTTTAAAAGTCTTAAGCTTATAATAGAAGGAATAAATCAGACTTCTATGAGAAGGAAGAGAAAATGCTTCAATAAGACAGTCCCAAAATTCTGACAGATTGACCCAATAGTTCTTGTAGAGAAATCTATATTTTTTGGCAAAATCCTTCTGAGATAGAATAGTGATAGGAGAGTGATAAAAAATGAGAGGATCACCAACCTTATAGAAGGAGGTCGGGTAGTCAGCAAGCCACAAATCATTAAGAAGCACTCTGTCTAATTTAAAGTGAACGGGATTATCAGTCTACTGGTTAAACCAGGTAAAATAGTGTCCCACGGAAGATAACACATGCGCCCCAATATTAAAAATCAAATTGTTAAAATTAGCTAGTACACCCCCAATTTTTTCATGAGGAAACCTATAATAATTGAAGTCCCCAGAATGATCCAAGGGAGGAGATATTGCTAACTAAATATGTGAGTTGCTTCCATAGCACTTGTCTTTCCTCCTGAAAAATAGATGCATAAATAACAAAGACATTACAAGAGAGAGAGTTGCCCGAGAAAAATATGCCATGAATAATTTGGCTAGAGATAAATAGAGGCTTGAAATCCACACTATTAACATTCCACTTGATCCAGATTCTACCTGGGCTAGAGCAAGCAAAATTATTATAGGATGCTTCATTATTGAAAATAGAGTGAGTGGCAATGAATCAGGGATCAGCAATAGATTGCATAGAAATTTTGGCCTCTAAAAGGAATAATAGGTCCATATTATGTTTGTTAACAAAATCCTTACAGCACCGCACCTTGTCCAGGTTATTAAACCCCTGCACATTCCAAACTCCCATAGGTGGTGGGTTCATTAGGATTTAGAGGTAGGGGTGGATGCCTTTTTGACATGTTTGGCTCTTATTGATTTGATTCCCGTAGGTTGGTTTTTGGGGTTAGAGGAGGGGATCTGTTCCAGATTGTGTTGACTTACGGACAAGTCCATTTGTCCCAAATTATGTTGAATTGGTACATGGTCTAAAGAAAGCAAATTTTGGTGTTAGTCATCATAGAAAGTAGAGAGATTCATGATTTACTGGTCAGGAGGGGTGGTTGAGATAGAGGCATGAAATTTTGTTTGGTCAGAGAAGGCAGAAAATTAGTTTTTGGTGGACAATGCAGAACTTTTAGATGAGTGGTTAAAGGAAATTGGGGTGGGATTCTCAGAGGAGAAATCCGAGCAGGAGGGTGGTAATTCATACTGAGGAGGAATTAAGATTTGGAATACTGGTAAGGTTAGAGGTTGTAGGAGGATGTAAAGAAAGAGGTGGAGGGCAGTCCTGAGAGGAAGGGTTGTTTTGTGTAGCAAAAGGTAAAGGTGGTTTGGGAATCACAAGGCAGGCTGGTGATTTGCAACTGGTGCTACGTTTGTAGGGACGGACAAGTAGTTGAGTAGTTGGTGTGAGATTTTTTGAGCAGGAGGTGGGAGAACTAGTTATGGATATGCAATGTGTACAAGGAATAGGCTTCCAGT